CGTCGGCGTAAGATTCTCCTTCTGCCTCGCTGTTGAACTGAAACACATGCGAGCTATCTGCGATTTTGTAAAGTATTCTGCCTGCCGTTTCTCTTCAAACTGCCAACCTTTCCAAAACATTGAGGGATATTTTAATAACATGTTATTCTTCTGAATGTCTTAGAGTTTCTGATTTATTGAAACCAACCATTCTCTACAATTAGGTGAGTCTAGGCGTTTTCAGTTATCTTCTTCAGCACTAGGTTTACAGAGTATGGATTCCAGAAATGGGCGGGTTTTTGTGTGAAGGTGTGGAAATTCACCAATCTCCCATAGTTTTTTGAGTGTGTGCTAATAATGATGGCATAACTGTCAATCAAAAGCGCATTTTTTACCAAAAAACATAAACATATAACAACGATAAGGACGCTCAAATAGACGCGTTCGCTCACGTTCCCGTTAGTGCTGATAACGATGTCAATCCACAGCACATTTTTTTACTATTAACTTGCTCCACCTCGCTCTATTAGCTCGTCCAGAAAGTTTTTGGGCTTGAATTTCAAAATTCATAACTTCTGATTTTTCCAACCGATTTGACTGCTTTCACTTTTATGTAAAAGGGTAAGTCATGCTTTTTATAATGACATCTCAGCTGCTTAGTAATGGTCATCTGTTGCATAGATAGAAGCGATAGAAGAAAAATGGTATAAATTTTAATTTTCTGTGTAGGGTCATAATTTCGAAGACTTGCAACAAAAATCGGAGCAGTCACTGTAGGTTTTTTCACCAGTTCTTTCTAACAGTGCAAAGTTTGCGCCGATTGAGCGTCTCCATAAAAAGTTATGATTTCCCTGAAAAATGCCAAAATAAATCAAATTCGCCTTTTTGTGTTGCTTGCTCGGAAATCATAACTTTTCATGGAGACGTTCAATCGGAGCAAACTTTGCACTGTTAGAAAGAGCTGGTGAAGGAACCTACAATACCGACTGCTCCAATTTTTGTTGCAAGTTTCTGATTTTTTATGCTACACAAAAATTCAAATTTTGAGTGATTTTGGTTTTGAGCTTCTATCTATGCAACAGATGACCATTACTAAGCAGCTGAGATGTCGTTATAAAAAGCATGACTTACCCTTTCACATAAAAGTGAAAGCAGTTAAATCGGTTGGAAAAATCAAAAGTTTTGAATTTTTGAAAATCGTGCGCAAAAACTTTCGGGACGACCTATACAATGTGTTGGCTTTCATGGGTCACCGAAGCAAATGATTTTTAGAGCCGGGGAGCAAAGAAGCCCTAACATGCTGTATACCATTCGAAAGCTGAGATCATGGAGAATCGACGTAGACCGTCGCTTTTTTCCAGGTCTTCTGTGACGTGAGATATGAGGGATTTTATGTGCTTTAAAAATTAACTGATTTTGTGTCCTCACTTTCTGCTCTTTAAATGAATGCTACGAGAAAGTCGACAGCCTACGTTTGTTAATGAAGACTTGCTCTATCACACAGATAAATAATCAGCAGTGATTAGGTCTTCATTTGGCAGAAATCTGCTATTGAAAATGACCATGTTTTCAGATAAAATGCGGTGTATCTCTCGGTAGAGGGGGGCTAGAAAGAAGTCGATGGTCTAGATCGAATCCCCTTTTCCCGAGCTTTCGAATGGTATATAGGTTGCTGGGCGAAAAAACAGACCAGTTTTCAAAAATGGGGTGGAGATATTTACTATTAGCTTGCTCCAATCCGGCTCCACCAATGTATTGACTTTTATCGGTTACCGGAGCAAATGATTTTTAGAGCCGGGAAGCAAAGAAGCCCTAACATGCTGTATACCATTCGAAAGCTGAGATCATGGAGAATCGACGTAGACCATCGCCTTTTTTCCAGGTCTTCTGTGACGTGAGATATGAGGGATTTTATGTGCTTCAAAAATTAGCTGATTTTGTGTTCCCACTTTCTGCTCTCCAAATGAATGCTACGAGAAAGTCGACGGTCTACGTTTGTTAATGAAGACTTGCTCTATCACACAGATAGATAACCAGCAGGTCTTCGCTTGGCAGAAATCTGCTGTTAATGGACCTTTTTTCGGATAAAATGCGGTATATCTCTCGGGAGGGGGACTAGAAAGAAAGTAATGGTCTAGGTCGAATCCTCTTAATAAAAATCCTCTTAATCCTCAAATCCTCTTAATATAAATTTATGAGTGTACTTGTTGTTTGAAGTAGTTAGCCTGCAAAACCTTTTAATAACGATTTTTATTTTATATCCTCTCAGAGTACAATACCAATCTCAGCCCAGGTGAAGGGGGTCATCGGGAGTTTGGCCTCAAAGTGAAGGGGGTAAGATCCATCACTCCCCCTATCGCAACTATGGGTCTAATCCAGGATTTCGCAGGTTGCCTCAAAAAAGGGATTTTGCGAAGTATTTACGCTCTTTAGGTTTCATATTTCGGATCAGCCTATGAAAAAGAATCTACCCGGATGCTTCGCTTGAAAATGATTGTCCTACTTTTTCATACATTTTAAAGCACTAATACGACTAAAATACCGCGGTTGAATTGAATGGCCGTTAGGCCGAATTAATGATTAAGTAGCACTTTTCTCCAGCTTCTATCTTCTGCGCATACTCTTGTGAAATACGAAGCGCAGCTTATTGGACTCAACGGGCGCGACTCGGTTCCGCTTCTCGAGTGCAGTCTTTGTGATTAGTACCACAAAGAAGTGTAGCGAGAAGTATACAAACCATTCAACTTCGTCCCATCCAGGAGATAGTTCCGCAGGGCGGTTGTCCTTGAATGGTACAGAAGACTTGGTCTTTTCGTAATCGATTGAGTGGTTGATCGAGGATACTCAGAAATAATGGTTTCCAAACTTCGCTCGCAATACTCTTCAAGATCAACTTCTCTGTTTACTAAGTCTGAGGTCTGGCTGCTTTCTTTACTTTGTTTCCTCAAGTTTTTGTCTTTCATTTTACGGCACACCGTGAGTGTACACATAAAAAAAATAAAGATCAGAACAAGATGCACAACATTCTGCTGACCCAGACATCCGAAAATGTTCTCGTGCTTATTTTCCGCAGTAAATACCGAGTATTTACCTGCGTGGTCCTAAACATGTACTCCATCAAGACGCAGTTGCACACAAGTTTGTACTGTACCATTCACCTGTGGAACTCAGCTCCTGGACAATGTCAGTCGTCCTAATGTACTTCTGCGGGTACTGCAGTATGGTACTTACCCACAGCCGCATCCCGGAGAAGCGGACTTGGCCTCGTTCTCGCATAGAGTAACTGGCAACACAAAGTGCTTCGTATGAGGTAAGCTTGAGAAAAAATATGGAATAAGATGTTTAACATTGAACGCAAGTCAAGCGCTTTTCCAATGGACCTAATATGTCATTTTCGTACATTTCCGAGGATTTCTTAGGCGCAGCTAAACATTCAATCTACCAATTGATTTGAATTGACTTTCAGGAAACTTTGACTCCAAGCGTAGATTCATTACTTACGTATCTGTGTGAATACTTGTCAATATGAATCATATCGATGTAGATATGTGCGCACTACAATTTATATCAACTACGAACTCCCGTTTGCACAAGGACTACACATCCACCACGCAACGGCCTTCCGTGCGGAACATCAGTTGATCTTTCTGCGTCGGACAAATGTGGCAGCTCTGGCAAATTGCGCCAATGGGACAAGGAAATAGACGATTGACACAGCTTCTTGCATGAAACGACGTATGCTAGTTTGAACGGCGCAACATCCATCAAACAAGTAGACAGGAATATCATTTATTTTGCTTTGCAGTGAAAAATTAATTACTTAGGCCAAGCGACTGGCGATGTTTCGAGTTGTCACTACAAAATCAACTATCATCAGGGTAAAGCGGGGGGTGCGGCACGCGACCGCCGGATACGACCCCCCCCCCTTGGGCCGGACCTCGGCACGACCCCCCCCCCCCCCATTCCCTACCCCCCCCCCCTCCTCCCTCCCGAACTTCCAAGCTAGCTCTTGAGCTTCAGATTATGTGCAGACCAGTGCGTCACCTCTGTTTCGCAGAGGCTCGCACTGGCCCCACTGTCTGTACGCCTTACTATTTCCCGCACATTAATGACATTGAAACTCGCCGCGCTATGCGGACTATCACGAATAATTAGTAAACAACTATTCATTTCAAAAGCTTTTCCATATTAGATCGGTAACTTCGCGTGAATGAAACTTTTTCCAAAAAAAAACAAATGCAGGTTTGGATTGGTTGCTCTCACGCAAGTACATCTATAGTATTGAACTGTGCAAATATTAGAAGAATTTTCAACCTTTTACAAGCTCTCTCTCATCAATTTCACATTTTTATTTGGATTTTTTCTGCTAAAATAGATATTTCTCAAGAACTAACTTTTGTAAAACGCTGAGAATTTTAATGATTGCAAAGGTTGGTGATACAGATTTACTTGTGGGACAGTCCAGCAATGCTTGAGAAAAAACGTAAGAATTTTCATTCTGAATCTTAGCTACGGGAAAATACATCATGCATATAAATCCTTGAGAAAGTTGGAGGTTCGTAGGACTTTTATGGAAAAGATGACTTTTCGATTTTCTGGACATTCGGAACCTGCATTCTGGGTTAAAATTTCATGTAGATCGTACCTATTGCGCTTGTTCGATAACCATCCTGTAGAGCTTGCTTTGCTTAATCAAATGAAACCTCAAGCATTGGTCTTACCCTGCCTTCGATAGCAACTATGCGCAAAATGCGACATTCTTTTCTTTCCAACCTAATGGTATACGCTACCCTAATAAAAAAGACAAAAGACTTTAGTATGCAATTCTACCGTCTGATTGTCAATGATTTTTTAGGCCAACCTCTGCACGGGAATACAGCGAAAAATTCAAGAAGATCTCAAGTTAATATAGAATTCGGTGTATTTGATGTTTACTTAGCAATTGTTCTGTCAAATGCAAATAAAGCACTGCGCTACTGTGATTTTATTATACAGAGACGTACATATCAAAATATGAGAATGTGACAAAAGCTTGAGGGCAAGTAACAACGATGCAAAAAAATCTCGATTGAGAATGATAAAAAGATCGTAAAGAATCTTATGTGAATAAGCATACCCCGCTTTGAGTAGCATCAAAAGGCTTAACACAATATGATCCATTATGGAGAAAAATATACTACGCCGGGAAGGAACTACCTCGCATTCACAAAGGCCGGGCGCATGAACTTGAACAACAACAAAAACGAGAAAAGTAAAAAAGAGAGGATCTCTCTATCTCAAAAAAAAAAAAAAACTTGCATAACACAGTAGAGGCATCAGTGCAACATTTTGTTCAACCTGACCTAGCTTCAGGCATAAGCCATGAGATGTGTTCGCAGCTCTGCCGGGATACACGCTTCAACGGCAGAGTTTGCTGCAGGTCCACGTTGTAGAACAGCCCGTGCGAGATAATCTGAATGAAAGTGCAGTTTTTGTATTTACACGTAGAAAAAGATTTACTTTTAAAGTTTGTGATCTCCGGTACAAGAGGGTCAGGCTTTGGGGCGTAGCTTAGCCGACAATATGGGTTCGTAAATTCTCCTTCAGCATTGTACATATATGCCTAAATAAATCACTTTTGCAACAAAAAATCGGAACTGTTATCACAAAATTGCACGAAGCACTTGTTAAAGAGATGAAATTACTACATGATGTTCAACCTATCGTGATTACGATAAATTTGGCTGCAGATTTTATACAGGTAGGCTCTTTGATATAGATGAAGATACAAGATAAATGAACTTTGCACTTTCGAACCTTCAATTCCAACCGAAACATGAAAAAAAATTTTTTTCTTGAAGCACCATGTTCTACGAAGTAGTTGGAGATAGCCTTGCAACGGACGTGTTACCAAAACTCTCGCAGCGTTTGAGTGAGACGCGACTATAAAGCTTAGAAAGCCCCCATCAAATTTTCCTACAGAAACATTCATACAAAATAGCATGAGGGGAGTACTGCGATTTGAGTGACCCATAAGAAGCCTGCCCAGAAGCATCTTCTGAAGCGTTCCACATCAAAGGCAGAAAACAGAAAAAGACTTCCAGAAACCTTACTGATATAAAATACATGAAGGTTACACTTACGTGCTATAGGTTTGCAATACACCTTCCCCAACAAAATAACTCTCGCAGTGTGGTTTTTGCGAAATGATTGAAAGAAATTCCATTGCCGAACATACCATGCCATCATATCTAATATTCGCAAACAAAAATAAGTCTTAGATATGGGTATTGCAAAGAGTAAATACGTACAAACACACCTCGTTTCACTATTTGTTTGTACAACAAGTTGCCATACAGCTTGGATGATATTCTGCATGAAGGGACTGATCTCCTCTTCAAATCGCTGCGCATACAGTGTAAATATCTCGCAAACTCCCATCTAAATCGCCTCAGAAAATAAGAAGATATAGTTAAAAGCTAAGGTATACCTTTAGTTCATCAAGATAAGTAGGTTCGCCACCACTTGAAGAGACGCTGGGACAATCCATCTTCATTATTTCTAAGTATCCATCCATCCATGGTTTTATGTTATCCTGAATGACACAAACAAAGTAAAAAGAGCATTATTCCACGGTTATGCTTGGTACATGGGATACAACCACGTAGTACCTGAAGTGAGGATTGTCTTCAAGTGAAGGAATAATGAGGCAATGCTGAATAAGAAATAGTAAGTAAGTTGGAACTTACCTCGAAGTACTCAGGCAAATCTTGGAAGCACAGTGAATGGAACACTTTGCTAACGAGACATAGAATCTCTAGCCATTGTACAACGGATTCAGCTGACATTGTGCTTCGCTGTGGGATGAACTCGAGCATTTTCGCGTATACCCGAGTAAGAGGCTCTCGCACCTGCATTTTTCAATACTCATTTCAACAAAAAAATGTAGGCATTTGAGAGATTGCTGCAGGCACTCTATTATTGAGAAAAAAACAAAAGATAGAACCTTACCGTAAGCAGACAAGACTTCAGCTCAGTCCATAGAGCAGTGGATTTGCTCTCATAACGAAATTTCTTGAATAGCTGATCCATCGCCAACAAAGACGCCACTAGCCGACCAAGATCGTCCACTTTCAACTGTTCAGCAAGTGCTGGTACTAATGAGGGCCAGCGCTCCGGGAAGTCCCGCTCAAAATCAATAGTTACAAGGAATAAAAGTGAGTTTGAGATAATAAAGTCACCTTAGCCATCAAATGTACTGCATGTGAAAGCTGACTCTGTAAGTTGCCTCTAATAAGAAACATCCCTTGGAGCACTGACTGCCGGATCTCTTCCTCTTCTTCAGGACTGAGGTCAACTTCTGGAGCCTCACTCTATAACTTTACTCATTTTGAATTTGTAAAAGGCAAAGTAAGGAGCTTACCTACCCAGTTTTTTCTTATAAAGTTTTTCAAGGCAATGCCGCCATTCGAATCTCAGCTGCGGCTTCTTCACTGCATGCGATGCCATGGCTTATGCAACAATAAACACATTGCAACAATAAACAGGCTGAACTTTTCCTGAAACAAGTGTAGATACGAAGAGGATTAGCGACTCCTCAGCTGCAGTGATAAATCCGAAGCTCATTTGACTAACAACGCCGTAAAGCCGTACAAGCATTGTTTGTTTTACTAACAAACAATTCGTGGAATTTCGGCAAACCAAATTTGGCGATTTGATACAGTTCCAAACGCATTAGAAGTAGATGCTATCCCAAAGGCAGTAAAATGATTGAAGAGATTAAATGAGTTAAAGAGTTCAATGACGATTGAGTTATTTACGATAACATTGTTTATGCATGTCAAATGACGTAAGATATACACCAATGCATCATCGTAGGCCAGCTGTCAACAACATTTCAGAAACTAAGCTGCGCTTCAATAACAGCAAGATGCATGGAAGCAAAATCACATCAGCTATCGTGGAGAAAGAAAATTAAAAAAGCAAGTTTGATTTACTCACCAAAGTCCTCATCATCAGGCCCTGGCCAGACTTCGCTCAAAAGCGCCCAAAAGCGCGCAAAAGCGCCCAAAAGCGCGCAAAAGCGCCCAAAAGCGCGCAAAAGCGCCCAAACTTCTCTAACCTCTCCTCACTCTCTCTCATCTCTCCTCACACGAGAAAGTGAAGAGACACCAGAGAAATTTGGGCGCTTTTGCGCGCTTTTGAGCGCTTTTGCGCGCTTTTGGGCGCTTTTGCGCGCTTTTGGGCGCTTTTGGGCGCTTTTGAGCGAAGTCTGGCCAGGGCCTCAGAGTTCGGTTGAGACAGAACTTGTGTTGTCCGAGTATACAATACCTCCATCTCTTCGCCAGTCCTTCGGCCTGCACAGTGGTACTATCTTCGACGATCCTTTCTCCATCAAGATCGAAGCCGCTGTCATGCAAGCATGGCTAAGAGCTTCGTTTATATCGCGTTCCATTCCTGAAAAAAATATTTCCAAAATCGAGAACAACAAGAATCACTTTGCCTCGGCTACGAAATGCACTGAAGAACGGACGACAAGAAGGCTGAGTGCACACTGGCATACCCTATCTCGAACGATTTTTTCGCAAATAATTGTTAATGTTTTGAAGCATGAAACTAAATTGTTGTTTGACCTCATATGACTGCCTTTAACCCTCGAATGTATTGCTTCTCTATGCGACCAGTACAAGATCTGGTTGCAAGATGATCGTATTCACTATCAATAAAACTGAAACGAAGCTGCAGAATCCAGGATAAACAAGTAAACAAACGATACACGACAAGAACCCTAAAGCACTTCATCCACCGCACGTGTTCAGGCACTCAATACATCGACATAGTCATCAAATACATCACATCACTACAAGCAGTAATGGGTGCTTTGAGAAGAGTTCAGAACGGCGAAAACGTCAAAATGCATTTTGAAAAGCACTTTGCGAAAGAACAGAAGAACAAAAGAAACAAAAGAAACAAAAGAACAATCAAAATGAGCAGGAGGTGAGGTGCTGCAGACGAGCGGATTTTGAAATGGGCATTTCAAACTGTCCTGCTCCCGCCGTTGGTGTGATGGCAATTTTTCGACTCCTACCGTACACCAATATTTTCGGAGGTTGTCGGACTAGGTGCTTCGGTGAGTAGGGTTCAGAAAACCCGCCGTATCTCCACTAAGAGGGGGCGCTTGGGGGTGGCAAATGCTACTACGGAGAGAGGAAGGATGGATCTATAGGTTGACATGAAAAAGGCAGCTGTTTGAACGTTTTGAAGGTAAGTTAATGGCCTGCGGCACCCCCCCTCAAAACCTGCGGCAGCCGCAGGTTTTGAGGGGGGGTGCCGCAGGCCATCAACTATATCAAAAAAACATTTTTAGCGGACAATATCTATATGAATCAATAGCCTAAACCTCGTAGATTCCACAGGGATGTTTTGAGCCTGATTCGTCTTCTTAGCTCTGAGTAATATTTGGTGAAAGCACAACGATCAAAACCTAAAAGCGATTTTGGTTGGCTTCTAATTTAATAGTTTGGAGGTCTTCTGAAGCGGGATTCCTGAGGTGGACAAAGAAGGAGTAGTGCTTTGTACTGAGTGCAAGAAGATGTAGCTTACTCACCGTTAAGATGAAGTTAATCATGTTTTAAATTACTGCTTTATACAAGGTTGTTTACTGCTCGGAGACCTCAGAGTTCGCTGAAACTTGGCGCATAGGGGTTATTCGACACGCGGATTACGACAATTATGCTTGAATAGAGGTACGGTAGGTTACGGTAGGCATACGGTATCTGCGAGTTTGTGTCGTTGAACTTGAATTTTGCAGGATTTCAACAGTGCTTTCATCATCAATTTAGTCACATAGCTGTACAGCGAGACTAATCTCTTCATCAATCTTTTCTTGCATCTCTAATTGAAATAATCAGCAATCAATCATAATCAGATTAGTTGTGTATAAACCGATTGTGTAAAGGCGGCAGCACAGAAAAGGACACGCCAACATTTCCATCTTTGTTACCGAAGCTCACAGGTTGGACGATTCTGATTTGACTCCACTCTATATTGATTTCGAAGTTCTCAACTTTAACATTATAGAAATGAGTGAAAGCAGCTCCAATGCTCCACGGCCGAGGGACGAGGCCCCCCCCCCCCGATTCAGAACGGGTGGTTTTGAGTTGAATCAAGGAGTAAACTTCGGTGATCCAGTTTGTCGAATCAATCTACCATATCCTACTACGCGGCCATGGGGAGCAAGGGAACCGGTACGACCTCCAGAACCTAATCCCTGGAGATGAAGGCGGAATCTATCCGCCTTAGACTTCTATCTTTGATAGCAATAAAATATTCTTTCAATCTCTGTGTGTAAATTGTGTGAATTCAATGTTCAATGCAACCCCGTATTTTTGATTTTCGAATATATTCGATAAATTTCGAAGGAAATTTGAAGTAATTTTGAATTAATTAATTAATTAAGTAATTTGAACTATTACTAACTATTACTATGACTATTTTCAGGTGCATAGTCCGCGAGGGATTTGTTCTAGATTCGACCAGCCCAAACACTTTGAAGCGGTTGAGCAGCTGTGGCATTATTGGAAATGGTGGGCTCATACACCTAAAAAAGCGTATATTATATGTGTTATTTGCAGTGTGCTGGAATGTGGAACTTGTTCTTTATCCCTTGCCTTGTCGCCGCTCCATGTCATCCATATTTCAACGAGATGTCGGTTCTACATTTTACTACAACCCATGAGGAACAGTTCATTGAATTGAGTGTTAGAGAAGAATGCTATAACTTCTGGACTGGCATTTATTCAGAGACTTGGCTCGCCCCACATCCTACGAAGAAAGCCCTCCGGACCTAGACGATCCCGAACTCACCTTTAGCCTTGAAGATGCTCCGGAAAGTAGTGAAGGTGACTTAAGGCACTATAGTTTAGCAAAACGATATGAAGATTTCGACTGGAACAATGCTGTATATTCTTCCATTAAAAGTTTCTACGACGAAATGAAGCAAGCATTAGATGCCCAGCTCGTGAATAAGCCTCATGAATTCAATAGTATTGATCTACTAGCATTGGATAAGCACATTATACTGGATGTGATTGAATTCAACGGAGATTTCGAAAACGGATTTGTTGACTATGTACCGACAAATGCAAACTTCTTCAGTAGAGGATGCCCCAGCTATTTCATTATGGAAGGCGACATACTTGATCCAAATCTTCATCAACAGCAAATTTTGGATTCCATTGAAGTACTTACAAGGGAAGGAAGGTGGGTCGAAGTGGCCTTTTGAAATGAAATGTACACCGCCTTGTGGAGCTTAGAACGCTGATTTCAAATCTACCTTTGCTATCTGCTGCGGGCTTCTAGGCGAGGAGTTACGAAGGTTTTTGTGAGTAAAAATCTGAATGCAAAAATAGGGTAAAATCAGTCGTAACCTTTTGCCAATGTTCAAATGAGGCAGCAGCGAACTGGTATATTTGAATCAAGAATATTTGTTGCACCGAGTGACCCGGCTACCAATTAAGCCCTATAAAAATGTTACGACTGTTTTTAGCCTACTCTTGCATTCAGATCTTTACTCACAAAAATCTTCGTAACTCCTCGCCTAGAAGCCCGCAGCAGATAGCAAAGGTAGATTTGGAATCAGCGTTCCAAGCTCTACAAGGCAGTATACATTCCATTTCAAAAGGCCACTTCGACCAACCTTCCTTTCCTTTTAGTCAGTTCTGTAACATCCCTGACCTCAAGGATAGCATGATTCGCTTCTATAATACTATACCTGCGTCAGTGCACAGGTTTGCAAAGTGGAAATCAAACTTCAGAGAACATTCAGATAGTTTGTCGTTTTATCGAACGCTGTTACAGCACGGTAAGGATCTGCATGTCCCGGATGACATCCAGCAGGTACTACGTTTCCCGTCTTTTTTGACTACAGCAACAGCTTTTTAAGGCCATAAAATGCGTTCTCATCCTCCCAGCAAGCAACGCCGACCCCGAGCGCAGTTTCTCTGCTGCTAACAGGCTCTCTAGAGAGGAAAGGAGTAACATAAAGACGGAATCTTTAGACAATATCATGACGTAAGCCCTGTTCTTGTAAGTATGCTCCAACATCACTGCATGTTTTAGGGTGCAGCGTAATGGGCCTAGCATCCTAACAGTCAAACTTCAACAGTTAGCACTCCAATGGATGCATCCTGCACCGGGACTTGGGCTGGATCCGGGTATGCCATCGAATCTAGCTAGAGAAGGCAGCCTCATGAAAGCAGTAAAAGAAAACATTGCAAAAGGTTGGATTCACTTCAATTTTCAGAATTTAAAGCATTTTATGCATTTAGGAGATGCATATGAGTTGGCCAAGCTCCATGTAAGGCGCCACATGGTGGTTCACGGTCTAAATGCACGAAAGGACACGGAGGAAATTAAAAACCGGCTTTTGCAAGAAGGACTTGCTAAGATGAACATTTTTTCAATCGGATCTTCTGAGAAAACAGACTGAGCATCTTCACATCTTTATAAATCATTATTCATTTCCTTATATTAGCGTATACAACAGATAAATGTTTTTTTAAAGGTACATTTTACACAAAACCACAACAACAATGTGCGTAAGTTCCTCTTTCCCGACACAAGCTCTTCAAATGTATCGTGCATTTCTATTGACGAGATCTGCACTTTCCCACACATCACACGTCGGTCGTCACACCATCATCCATTCACTGCAAAATCTCCTTTTCAAGAAATTCCATTGAAAACACAACTCGTACCTAAATCAAGACTCCATTTAGTATTTCTCTCAAATATTGAACCTGAGTTGTCAGAGGTAGTTGGGAAAGAGCGTGGCACGTCTAAGAACTTAGCTGCAGTCATTTCCCCTTAGAAACCGCTTTTGACCTTGGGTCGATACGACCCCCCCCCCTACCTACCCCCCCCCCCCCTTACGACCCCCCCTTGCGGCGTGCCGCACCCCCCGCTTTACCCTGAC